TTTGGCACCCAAATTGTGCAGTGTCTGCCTGTGATTGGATTCAAGTTTGACACTTGTGTTGTCTTGTCTGTGTGCTTAGGGTCATTGTCCTATTGGAAGGTCAGATTCTGGACAATTCTGAGATCCTGAGCCCTCTGAACTTTCATCTTTTCTGCAGTGATGAGAGGCTTCAATCTGGCCATTCTGGCCCAGGTTTTCATTAAGTGACTCTGAAGTAAATCTCTGAAGTGACTCTGTCCAGCTTTCCCTCAACCCTGACAAATCTCCCAGTCCATCGTGGCCAGTCTTCCATAAAAGTCAAATCAGTGTTGCAAGAGTGTTGCAGTAATGGTTGTCCTTCCAAGTATCTCCCATCTCCACACATAAACTCTGGAGCTCTCCCAGATTCACCAGTGGGTCATTTGTCACCATGACCTTTCTCAGCTAGCTTGCTCAGTTTGACCAGGCAGTTAGTTCTAGGAAGAGCGCTGCTTGCTCCATACTTTTTCCATTTAACAATTATGGAGGCCACTGTACTCTTGGAAATCTTCAATGGTGCCAAAAGCTTTTGGTAGCCTTCCCCAGATCTGTACCTCAACACAATCCTGTATCTGAACTCTGCAGGCAGTTCTTTTGGCATCATGACTTTGTTTTAATAAGCATTTACAGCTGTGAGACCTCATATAGACAAGTGTGAGCCTTTTCAAATAATGTCCAATCAACTAAATTTGCCATAGGTGGACTCTAAATAAATTGTATAAACATCTCAAAAATTATCCAGAGATAATTTCAAGCATCATAGCAAAGGGTCCACATACTTATGTCAATGTGATATTTCAAATATCTGTGTTTTTCTTTATCAGAATAAGGTATTGAGTGTAGACTGGTGTGGAGAAATTAATATAAACAATTGTAAAAAAAGGCTGCAACATGTGAAAAAATGAACTGGGCTGAATATGCACTATATCTATCTAAATGGAGCCATACATTAAAATGATTAGCACAAGAAACAGGTACATTATGTTATGAACTCTGAAATACTAAATTAAAAAATAAAGCACTGTTTTCAGTCCCTTTTTCTGATCAAACATAGCTGCACCTAGAATGTTAATTTAACCCCTCACAGCAGAAAGGACATGAAATAGAACTCTAAACTTTATATAAATAGATCCACCTCCTTTCCATCAGGCAATTGTTTTTCCTGTCCTTCACAGACGTTTGGAAGAAGTCTGCTTAAGGAGATTTTTATTTTATGCTCACCAGGTCAGTATTTTTATAGGCCCAACCAGGGTTCAGCCTCTAATCCTTAAAGACCCAGCAAACAGCTTAGATTTAGGTGTTGTCTCCCTTGGTACCCCCTTTATTGACCGGTATCTGAACTTTCTCCCTGAGTGAATGACAGTGGTCCACTGGATACATGAGGCCAGTCTAGGCCTAAGTCTCTTTCCCTGAAGACCCAGTTAATAACAGTTACATAAGATGCCCCCCTGGGTTACTATTCTTTCAGTTTCTTCCGGTTGCTTATATTGGGCTTCCTTCTAACAAATAGGTTACATTTGTGGATGTTTATGTTGAGCATTTAGGTAAGTTTATACACCCACAGATGCATTTTACAAAAGAGTGCTGCTAATGCATGTTCTGGCTGTATAAAGTCTGCCTGTGCTGACTAGAACCATGCTCATTCATTTTACATACCCAAATATAGGAGTGTGAGTAGACAGGGATAGTAGATTCAGAACATAAGTCTGGGGCCTATTATAAAAAATAAACTGAACTCTAGAAACTGAATAGCACTTCTGTTGCTGTCATCTACTGGGAAATTCCTCTTTAATTAAGAGATATGTGCTTAGAATATATATCCATTTACAGAACAATGAAATATTGTATGTAACATACATGCTTTACTACAGCATTCTATTACCTGATCTGTCTTATTTCTATAAAAAAAAAAAAAACTTTCTCTGCGTTAATAATTGGCATTTCTGCACATAAATATCTATATAACATGAAACTTAGTTCATTTACAACAATTAGGATTTGTATTCAACAGCAGAATTATATTTAGAATAATATTCAATAGCTGTTGCAGTTGTTAAAATATAGACACTTGTGCACTTGTCTTGTGTTATAGGTAATCAAATAAAAAGCAGAAGAAGCATCATCATATCCTCGTTAATTAATGTCTCTGAATCATTTATATTCAGTAAAATATTCTTCTGTAAAGTTGTACTATGATTGGTAAGGATTCTTTTTATTAGGTATTCATTTGAACATATTCTTCTCATATTTTTTATGAGAAATTACTTTTTCATTCCCAATATGAAAGTGTATTGACACAAGGGGTTTGTAGAAGATGAGACCAGATCAATATTTCATTTAAAGGGATAATAAATCTTAATATTGGCATTAAAGAAACGTACTTATAAACTCTATCTGATTTTTTTCATCTACATAGAATAATGCAAAGAATATAACTCAAAATTGATAGTAAATAAATATAATATTACATGTGATCACAGGACCTAAGAAAAACGTGTGTGTGTATATATACACACACCGGTACATACAGTTGTGCTAAAAAATGTACATACCCTTTGAGAATTGGTAATAAATGTACCATTTTGAAAGAAAGCTTGAGTGAACAGGCAAAACACATGTGTTGTATTTTTTGGGGTTATAACAGAATGGTACAAGTATAAAACAAAACATGGCAACAAAGAAAAAAAAATGAAATGACCCCTGTTCGAAAACCTGCATACCCTTAGTTCTTAATACTGTGTATTGACCCCTTTAGCATCAATGACAGCACGCAGTCTTTTGTAATAGTTGTCTATCCGGCCCCTAATTCTTGCAGGTGGTATAGCCACCTATTCATTTTGGTAAAATACATCCAGGTCATACAAAGTCTTTGGTCGTCTTGCATGAACCTCATGTTTGAGATCTCCCCAGAGTGGCTTGATTATATTAAGGTCAGGAGACTGTGATGGCCACTCCAGAACCTTCACCTTTTTCTGCTGTAATCACTGGGTCAACTTGGTGTTGTGCTTAGGTTTATTGTCAGACTGGAAAGTTCAAGAACGACCAATGCGCAGCTTTCGTGCAGAAGAATGCAAATTGTCTGCCAGTATTTTCTGATAATATGCTGCATTCATCTTGCCATCAATTTTCACAAGATTCCGTGCCTTTAGTGCTCATACACAACTAAAACATCAGTGAGCCACCACCATGCTTCACAGTGGTGATGGTATTCTTTTCACTGTAGGCCTTGTGGATCTCTCTCCAAACATAGCACTTATGGTAGCACTTTAATTGCCATTTTAACCTTACAGTAGCACTTTAATTGCCATTTTAACCTGTGTGTGTCACCTTGTTTGTCTGTAACAAAGCCAAACATTCAAGGGTATGTATACTTTTGATCATTTGGGTGATTTCTGTTATCATTATGATTTAAAAAGGAGCCAAATAACTAAATGATAATAAATGGCTTCATATGATAACTATTCTTCAATTAAATAATTTCTTTGCATGATCAGTCATATTTTCAAAATCAATGTCAAAATTTTGCAATTTCTTCCAAGGTATGCAAACTGTTGAGCACAACTGTATACATATAATTGTGATAAAAATTATTCAACCTCCATTCAAAATCAATTCAATAAACGAATCAAACAAAAGCATTTGAAAGAGCTCAACACAATGAATGCTTCCAGTGGTTTCCCCAAATTCAACTGAAAATGCATTTATAATGATTTCCCCAGTCTTAAAATTATTTAACCCTCTGAATTGAATTGAAATATGTCCAGGTCAAAAGAATAATCCACAAAGTTAAGAGAGGAGATCATCACCCTTTACAAACAGCACGGAGGAACAAAGGAACAGGATACAAAAAGTTAGCAAAAGCACTTAATGTGAGCATAGTTTAATGTTAGATCAAAGTTGAAGGAACAGTGGTTACACTACCTGGAAGTGGCAGAAAAAGACAGCTATCAATGGCTGCAACCAGATTTGTGTGAAGGCAGGTTGTAAAAAAACCTTGAGTGACTGCAAAAGGACTGCAGGACAACTTGTTGGCAACAGGAACTGAGTTTCAGTGAGCATAGTAAGGCGCATACTAAACTCAGAAGGTTCACGTACCAGAACTCCAAGATGTACACCACTATTGACTCAAAAGAACAAGAAAAGTCGGTTCCAATATGCTCAAAATCATATAAATCAGCCTAAGAAGTTTGGGGATTCTGTTCTGTGGAACAAAACTGAAAAAATATGCTGAAAAGAACACTCTGCCTACAGTTAATCATGGTGGTGGCTCAGTGATGATCTGATGCTGCTCTGCATCCTCTGACACTTGAAATCTGCAGCAATCGGGAAAAAGTATGCCATCTGTGATGAAGCTGAAGCTTTACATCATTGGACCTTCCAACAAGATAATGAACATACCTCAAATTCCACCAAGGCTTGGTTGCAAATGAAGTCCTTGACAATTCTACAGTGGCCATCATAGTCATCTGACTTGACCCCCATAGAAAACTCTGGTGGAAAGTGAAGAAGGTGGTTGCAAACTCAAGAATATTACTTCACTGGAGGCTAATGCTCATGAGCAAAGGGCTGAGATTCCTCAAGAACGCTGCCAGAACCTGGTGACTGGCTGTGCATCTCATTTGCAGCAGGTCATAACAGCAAATAGGTGCTCTACGAAGTACTAAAGAAGCTTGCCATGAAGGGGTTGAATAATTTTGCGACTGGAGTCATACATTGCATTTTCAGTTAAATTTGGGGAAACCACTTAAAGCATTCGTTAATGAGCTATTTAACTTTTTTGTTGATTTGTCCATTGCAAACAGCTGAAAGTCTGTAAATTGTAACAACAAACCTGATTTTTAATGGGGGTTGAATATTTTTGTTTACAACTGTATATATTTATTTACTTTCTGTTCCTCATTTTCAGGTTTTCTACTAGAGGCTTAAGAGTGTGAGTGTTCTGCCCAGTATCTAGAACTGCATACTTTTGGACTGCGTTATGAGATGTCCGTCCTGGAATCTGCTGAAGCCACTCTCCCAACTAGGGGGTTACAGTTCCAAGTACTACTATTGCAACTGGGACTACTACTGCCATCACTTTCTACAAGCTCAGTTAACCTTGGTATTTGTCCACCTTCTTATGATCTTTCTTGTTGATGTTATGGTGTCTGGGTATTGCCACACACACAAGCACTGCAGTCTTCCCTTCTTTGTCTACCGCCACATTGTCCAGTTGGTTGGCCATTACTTGGTGGCTGCTACTTACTTGCCACACGATTTTAGCCCTGTCATTCTCAACTAACCTTTGTGATCTATACATAGACAGGTTTAGCCCATATTCAGTCCAGATGTTTCAGAGTACATTTCCACCAACCTGGTTGTGCCTCTCAGTGTATTTGGTCCATGCTAGCCAATTCCAGGACAAGAACAGATAAGCCCAGGTTTGAATCCCAGTCAAACCACCTCACCAGTAATTGTCCCTGGTCAAGATGCCTAATAATGTATACGCCTCAATCTTCAAACAATGAGAGTACCAAGAAATAAGAGAGTCAAGTTGACTCTAAAGCCACCCAGAATAATGGCCTACACATGCAGGGCCAGCAAGACCGCTAGGCGGGTTAGGCAGCTGATTCTGGTGCACCGACCTGTTGGGGGTGCAATGCTCAGATGACTGGCAGGACAGGAATGCACAGTGCTCCCCTCCTGCTGGTCTCTGAATGTTGCATGGCCATGCCTAGGAGCATGGTAGAGGAGCTTGTTTCCCTCTACCCGGTCTGACAGGAACTGACAGTGAGATCGTCAAAATTCTTACTGTCTGTCAGGATAGAGGGAAATAAGCTCCTCTACCACAGTTTTATGCTCGGCAACGCTACATGATAGCGGTGAGCTGGCACGGGAGTTGGCACGGGAGTTGGGGGTTAATGAGAGATCTGGAGGGGCTGTGGGGGTTAATGAGACACATGGAGGGGCTGTGGTGGTTAATGAAACACCTGGAGGTTCTGGGGAGTTAATGAGACACATGGAGGGGATGTGTTGTTAAAGAGACAAATGGAAAGGCACATAAAAGGCTGGGAGGGAGTTGAGGGTTGGGGGGAAGAGGCACACAGAGGGCTGGGGAACAAAGACACACAGAGGGCTGGTGGGGAGAGAGGCACACAGAGGGTCCAGGTGTTCAAAGAGGGCTGGGAGGTGACAAATAGACACTCAGTGGGGCTGGGGAAGAAGAAAAAAAGACACACAAATGGGTTGTGGGAAAGAAACACATAGTTGCTAGGTGGACAAAGAGACACAGAGAGGGACTAGGGAGGATACAGAGACACATAGATGGGCTGGGGAGGACAAGCAGATACACAGAGTGGCTAGGAGGGACAAAGAGACACACATAGTGCCTGGAGAGTACAAAGATACACACAGAGGGGCTGAGAATAACAATGAGACACATAGAGGGGCTGGAAAGAGAAAGACACACAAAATGGCTGGGGAAGAGGCACACAAAGAGGCTGGCGGTGAAAGAGACCCACTAATGTGTTAAGGGGAAGAGACACATGGGGGGGGGTAAGGAAGGGGGAAAATGATACACAAACAAGTTTGGGGAGAAAGAGACACAATTTGTGTGGGTTTTTTGGGGGGAGTGGGGGTGCCAGAAGCTACAGCAACAACAGACCCAATGAGAGATAATTTATGAAATGTATGTGAGAACTATGGCTGAACTATGGCTGAACACTAACACCAAAACAGCTACTTACACAATATTTGCAGATATTAAAGAGAAAACTAGTGTCATAACTGGACATAGATGGACTGCACAAAAGAACATGCATGAGCTATAAAGAGTATACATAAATCCATATAGCGTGCACATATGTAGTATTGGTGAATCTTTTTCTCAGGGTTAATCCATTTCCTATCCGCTCACTTCACATCTTCTATTGTACCTACTGTACAACAGGTACCTATTCACACTGGACCAGCTAATTGTCATGGACATAGTGTCCTTACTCCCTAGGCTTCCCCACCATTGGCTCTTCTGTTATGTCTATATTCTATCTTCAGCTTTTCCCTTCTCCATTAATTTCCCTTCTTTCTTACACTTTCTTCTTATTGATATGTTCTTCTTAAATCCTTGTAATTTCTTTACATTTGTTTTGCTTTATAACATTATGTTACGGATTGTACCACTTTACAATATTTTACATCGTTTTTCTTTATGTAAATAAAACTTGACAAAAGTATCTTGTGTTCAAAATCCTTGATGTATTGTGTGATCCCTAGCATGTTTATATTACTATTATTATCTCTTTTGTGAGGGTTCATGGGTGCATTTAAGTAAAATCTCTTTTACTGCAAGATAAACATTTACTAAAGTCAAAATAATAGAATGGCATAACAGCTGGGATACTGCTATTCTGCTATCTCTTATACTTTTTTTTTTTTTTAAATTAACATGTCATTAGCATTATCAGAGCTTGGCTCAGTACAATGGAGTAAAGTAAAACATGAACATTTTGACCCTAATGATAAAAAAATTAAAGCAAGAGTTTAAAGAACAACAATATACAAGGAGGAAATATCACTCTGAGAATGCCCCATCAGAACACCTAACTATCAGAGCATCAACAGAGTAGACAAAAAACAGAAGGAAAATGAGTAGGCAAGGGAAAGGTAGGGAGAGAGAGGGAGGGAGATGGAGCATATATTACTTTCTTTAAATTGAACAAATCATGATCTTTAAAGCTTCAGAGAAAATACACACTGATTGTTGTTATTACACATTTAAAGCATTACAATACAATACAAAGTAAAGCAATTGAAGTGTACATGGTCTCAGATCTCTGAGATGGTTGTACTTAAAACACATTTTAGAGGGGAAGGATGAATAATTAAATATATATATATATATATATATATATATATATATATATATATATATATATATATATATATATATATATATATATATATATATATATATATACATAATGAAAACAAATGATAAATGGTGCATATTCTTGCTTTATGGGGTATACAAAGGATCATTTGGTTCAAATAAGAATGATTTAGAATATGATCTAAAAACAGCATTGGTTAAAACAAACTAGAGATGAATTTAAGGCAGTTTTACAGCTCATTCTAGTCTCTATTTTCCCATATCCATTAGGCTTCTATTATCCAGCAGATTGTTGCAACTCAACAAAAATGCAAATTAGATCACCTCTCCTTGTGGCACCTGTGCCAACCAGAGAGATAATATGAACTGTTATCTCTTTCACTGTAGCTGCAGACACTGTACATCTTGCTATGAGTCAGTATTATTTACCAGCCACTCTGCAGCATCTAAATCAGCACAATGCCCAGGATCCAAGGCTGTGTTTGCTGGTGATAAAGCCTCTCTTTTGTTTGATGCTGAAGGTGCTTGTCAGCTCCCAGATGATAAAAAGGCCAGAGGCATTTCTAATTATGAAATGAAATTGTTAATGTATTAAAGGCTGCCTCTAGGGCATCTGTCACTCTCTGGGTGATGGCTATATTTGCAGCAATCAATAAAAGATGAAAGGATACTTTAGGTTACCTCCCACCGTCACCGGTTAATTGTACACAGCTACAAGTCAAATCAATTTAGAATGTCATAAAAAAAGGATTCTCAGCATTATAGCAGTGCTTTCAACTTTAAATATGCATTCCATCAGTGTTCAAATAAAAATACCTGTTCTGTAAATTAAGAATAAGAATGGATCGATCGATGTAAAAATTTTTTGCCTTTGTTATAAAAAGTAAGGGTAAGAGGTGATTGTTCTTTAAATTTTGTCTCTACCAAAGACTGCCTTGGACTTACAAACATGCAGCATCTCTTTGCATGGATTGGTTGGCTGATGTAGTAATCTAAATGCAAGACTTCAAAAGGTACCCACCTGCTTAGTTGGCAATGTTGGCAACAAAAAATATATATTTTAGAGTTTCAGTTTGCTCTTTATAATTTGTAGAGATTTTAAAGTTGGAAAGTAAGACCTTGAATGTCTTGACAAGGGCTCTGGATTGACAGCCTCACAGTGATCTTTTTATCACTCCAATGTATGCTTATTTAGAAGAAACACTCCCTATTTTGGGTTCAAATCCTATTGTCCCTATTTTCTTTCCTAACTTGACTCAGTGTTCTTGTAGTGTGTAAATTTGTACCAGAGCTCCACATCAATAACGCTCACTGTAATGTGTATGTAAACGAATAAAAATAATAAATGTGTTTAGAAATCCATCTGTGTAAATATGATACAATGTTCTTGTTCTAAATTACATTTTCTTTACATAAATTGTTTTAAATAAGTCACCTAAAATGTTTCAAGACAGCCCACCCATAGTCACACTCCCACTGACACTCCTAGAATTAAAGTCTTTCTCTTTGTCCATTTGAAATGTTGGGAGTTGTGTATTTGGAAGGATAAGTCAGCTATGTTCTGTGGTTCTGTGTACTTTGCAAATCCGTTACAATATCACTGTGTATCTCTAACTTGCCCAAGGCTGCTGACCACTCGTCCTTTCCCATTCATTTGCCCTTCAGTAAAAATCAAACAACAAAATGGCCACAGTTTATATTTTTTCAGTTTCAGATAATGCCAGCAATAATCACATAAACTTATATGCAACTGATTTTCCAAGTGTCATGGTTTAAATTAATTTTTATAATGGCCCCGATAAAATACGGTAAAACTAAAATGTGAAAAGATATGTAATGCATCATTCATAATCTTTAATCACAGGAGCCATTCACTGTGCAAATGTCCATTATGTCGTAGTGGATGATGGAAGCTGACTTTGATTGACAAAAATAGACATTCATTTAAAACAGCTGTGACTCCCTTATAGCAAGTGGCTGTTGATAGGTATTTTTATAGGTATTTTTACTGCAAAATAATGTGTAAGTTATTAGAACCCTCATTTTTCCACAAGAGGTTTATTTATGCAGTTCAATTAGTAGGATTATTACAAGCACGAATAGATAAGTGTAAAGAGAATCACTGGGCCTCTGTGGTAAACTGTTCAAAGAACAGTTATACCCTAAGTGAACGGGGATTATACTTTGTGTGATTAAATTTTCTTTGAGTTATGGCTTGCCAAACATGTTGTGTTGTATTAGTATGTTTGATTACATGAACAAATTAAAGAATCAACAAACAGTACGCAATTTTAATAAAACAGGAAATTAAATTTTTAGTAGTAATTAGAAGCTGTGACAATGTCATAAGATATTTTAACTCAAACAGCATTTTTTTCTGGGGCTTCTTGATTTATTAACTCCTTCACTCTTGAGTTTCTAATTAGATAATTCAGTATGCGTGACAAAAATAGGTAAATAAAACTGTCTAAAATCTTGCTTGTTTTTTTTCTAAGAAATCTTATGCATTAAATCAGTGTTATAAATATAACAATCTTAAAAATATTTAATAATATGTTGTCTTTTAGTTGAGTGTAAAAAATGTCCTTATGTCTTACCTCAACACGCAGGAAAGTGGAAACCCACAAAAGGTGGATCCGAAAGATGTATTACCAAGCCTTAGAATGGCCAGACTTAACATATTGATACAGCAAGAAACAAGGTCAGCCTAAGCCAAGATCAGGAATACACAGAGTATATACAAAGCCGGGTCAGGATACCAGAAAATCACTAGTCAATTACTAACCCGAGTCAGGATACCAGAAATCACAAGTCAAAACAAGCCAAGGTCAATAACAGGAATACAACAAGAGAGACTTATATATAACACTAACGTGTATCAGGACAGAAACCACATTAGGCCAACGAGTAAGGGCTAGAGCAGTTCTTAATTAGATTCCAAAGAGCTCCCATTGGTCCACTTCATCTCTGTGACCTCAAACAGCATGGGATCGCTTAGATGACACGGTCCCTCTAAGGGCGTGACGTCATGGGAATTTAATATCTGAATGAGCTCCAGTTCGGCCCTCAAAACAGCAGAGAGCTGTTCGCAGGACCGAAAGGAAGTATACTATTCAGGCCACATGGCCACTTGGAGCGTTCAGGCCGCGAGGTCTGATGACTACAGTATTTCTGCAGAATGCACTGCGTGGCCAGAGGAGAGGAGCGGTGCGGGTGCCGGGCACACGTAAGTTTGTGACACCATATTATTCAAAGTAGTACTTTTGTGAGCTTGACTATATGTCATCTCTGAACTGAAACAGAATTAACTACACAGAACACAATATAATCCACGTAAAATTACCTTTATTTCTAGTATGCATAAACATATATTATTATAATACACATTCACGAATTCTATAATGTTTAATTTTTGAACTACATAGTTATCAAATACTGATACAGCAAGAAAAATAGAATTTTAGGATCTTCTATTGTAACACCCATAAACTTGGCATGACACATGATGACTTAGCTTTCTCCACCACATGGACAGCACTAAAAAGATGTATTTAGTAGACATGTGCATTTCGTTTCATTCGGAATGTCAATTCGGACGAATATCGGCCAATTCAGACATTCTGATACTTCTGAATGTCCGAATAGCTGAATTGCCGAAGTTCCGAAGTTGCCAAAGTTCTGAAGTGTCGAAGCACAGAATTGCCGAAGTGGTAATATACCCAGTGGAAGAATGAAGAATGTTACACTGTATACCAGTTTAAATAAAAAGTATACATACATATCCAGGATTCAGCAGTAAGCATTTGCAACACTTGGATGGGAATGAGTAAGTAGATAACTCTATAATTCCCATGGTATTAGGGAGCTATCTACCAAAAGGCTGAAAGACCTAAATTGGTCTTTCAGCCAATGTTACTAATACTCAGTAAGAATTACTTAGCATTAGTAAATTCTGCCCCTACTCGCTATACCGCGAGTAGGGGCATGTCTAGTAAACAGTGAGCAGTCTGTGGTTGCTCACTATTAAAACCTCCATCCAAAAAAAGTGTGTCCCCCCTACTGAGCCCCCACCCATGCTGCACGAGTGGGGGCTTTTAAACTGAGGGCAGGTGGGGGCCCTGGATGACAGTGGGGGGAACCTATCGTGTGTGTCCCAGCCCCCACTCCTGAGAGGTGGATGGGGGCCCTAAAGTAGAATAAGGGGGGGACCTATAGTCCTCCCCCCCGGCCACCACCCCTGAGTGGCGGGTGGGGGCCCTAAATAAAAATTTTACCCCCCCCCTGGTGACTAGGGGTCCACAAACCCAGAGTCATCCATCTCCCCCCCCAAAAAATAATAAACCCCCTACCTACCCCCTTCACAATAACTAAATAACTGTAAAAGAAGAAATATAACTTACCATTTATGTCTTCTTTTTTTCTAAAATCTTTTTTCATCCCAAAAAGGCCAATTAAAAACCATAATACCCATCACACTTTTAAAAAAAGCAAAAAAATCCAATGAAAAAAAAAACTCTGACGCTGAAAAAGTAATCCATCTTCACCCATGTAGGTCAAAGCGCAGACTTAGTTCTGCAGGGTGGGGGAAGGCTTATAAAACCTTGCCTCGCCCCGCAATTAGGCTCAGAGCACTCTGATTGGTTGGTTTAAGCCATCCAATCAGAGTGCTCTGACAGGTAAATGAAGAGACTGACAGGTAAGTTACCAATTTAGGTCTTTCAGCCTTTTGGTAGATAGCTCCCTAATATCGTGGGAATTAGGGAGTTATCTACTAAGCGGCTGCAAGAGAACATATATCCGAAGTTCCGAAGTCGCGAAGTGTCGCAGTTCCGAAGTGCTGAACTGAAGTCCCGAATTTTGGAATGTTGAACCGAACCAGATATTTTCCCCATGCACATCCCTAGTATTTAGTTAGCATTTCTAAAGGGATGGAATATATAAATTATATTTATGAAAACTATATACTATACTCATGGCACAAGGGGATTGTAAACTGGAAAAGCAAACATGGCATATCTGTTTTACTTTAAAGGTTATTCAATACTGCCTACATCCATAAATTTAATGTTGCAATATAACACTGATCCATGTTGCAATAATAAAAAAATAAAAATAAGCATGTTCAAGCAGTTTGCCAGATGTGCCCAGGCTTGCCTTAATGCAGGGCTCAGTTTTCCATACTGCCTAATTTGAAGTAGTTCATTATTTTGTAATTTCACTATATTTTCTTTCTTTGAATTATTTGTATTGACTCATATTGTTCAGGTTTACATAAAGTATATGTCATCACATTGTACAGAAACACAAACATTTGTTATTTGAAAAATACCAACATCACAATGTATTTGCAAGGTTATTACGGCTAATCTTTGACATAGTAGGTGTTGAGAATCCATGAAATACATAGTATGAATATGCATGCAAACATAGCAGTGATGCACAAAGCCCATCTCATGGGAATAGGGCCTGCCAAAACACAGGGGGGCATAGTCCCATCCCATGCCCCCTACCTGTGAGCATCTGATGGGCTTCTTTAAAATAAATAATGGGGGAGTGGCTATTTGATAAAATAGAATGTATGGTACTAAAATGGGAGGACATCCTAATTACCACACCTGCTACAACATGTGGTCAGCCGGTGGAGGCTAATATAATCTAAGGTGGCCCTCATTATAATATTATAGGGGGTTGCGGTGTCCTCTCCTCACCTATTAGAGATGGGTTGGGGCTATAAATATAATATTGAAGTGGGGAGGCAGAATTAATACTTGTTATATGAAGTATAACAAGTATTAATGGACATGTAAAAACATAATCCTGTGACAATAAAAGAATAATTTAAAACCACACCGCAGAAAAGTACACCCATGTTTGCCATGCAAGGGCTCTGCGCTGTATGAGGCATCAGTGTGCAATTCATCAAGCACTCACCCCTTTGACCCTGACAAAATCAAAGCTTTCTAATTTAAAAAGACAGACACACACAATGGATTACATCAACATTTCTCAGCAAAAAGCAAATCATTAGATAGGGTGCTCACTCAAAGGTTCTATATCCCAATGAACCAAAGTCACAAACAATGCCAAATAAGGAACACAACCATTAAAAGGAAATTGCACTTTAATAATTAGGTCCAATGTACAAGGTACAATACCAAAAACATTTACAATAATATCAAAGTAATAACCTATGTAAATAAAAAATAGTATACATAAATCACATGTGGAGAAACAGAGAGAAGTTGGCGCACACAATGGATATTTTTTTAATCAAAAATATCCATTGTGTGCGCCAACTTCTCTCTGTTTCTCCATATTTGATGTAAGTGTTTTGGGTGATACAACACTTGTGTAGTTTGAGACGCACTGGGATATACGTTATTATTTGATTTATAGCGCCATTTATACACCTTTTCTTTGTTTGTTATAAATCACATGTATTTATGCAAACAGAAAAACAATGTCAACAATGCTATTCATGGTATAGAGTTCACAATGATACTTTAAAGGAAACATAAACAACAGCGGCTCCCCTGATAAAGGTAATTTTGCCGAAATGTTGGGGGAAATTTTGATTATCTCTTTTCTCACTATTTCTGTTGTCTTTTTTATGGTATCTCTTTTGATGTTGGTTACATACATATTAATAGAAATAATACCAGCAGCACTCACTAATGTGACAAAAAAGTAAATACAATAAATACCAAATATGTAGTGCCCTTGGGATACTTAAGCAATATTCTTCATCAATCTAAAAATAACATTAACACATAATTGTACTCACCAGATGTATGATTGTGATACATAATCAAGAGAATGATAAAGTGTTTGAGGGTCCAACTCAAATTTACCAGAGTCTTGCCACCCTGGCTCTGGGTTATAATGGCTCCACTTGAGAGGGTAATGTCCCATACAAGAATTAATGAATTCTACACAACATCTGGAGCTTTAATCTTGAATTGAACCAAGAATACTAAAAAGCCATAATGGTGCCTAATATATTTATTGTAAAATGAAATATTGTAAAATAAAATGTAAAAAACTGCTTACTTGAAGTCTTAGCAGGCTTGCCAACTTGGTGAGCACTTTCTCACTTCTCTGATAGTTAGAAACGCTGATAAAAGTCTCCCTGACTGGCAGAGGTGTGATTATTCATCGAAGGGACATCGGAGCTTCACCTTACTCCAACCACTTGTCCCTGCTATGCCTCCCTCACTTCTTAATTGGTGAAGGAGTGGTCACACACAAAGTAGTTAGTAAAAAGGAATGTTTTCCTGAGTCTTTCATATGAGTTTTTAGAGGATATCATTTAGTGTCCATTGTCCATTAAATGCATAAATACTTTGTATATAATTTTTCTCATGACTCTATTGTTTATAATAACCAAAGAACATTCTGTATGATTAATAACCAGAAGGACTTACCACCTAAAATGTTGAAAAATTGCACAAATACACATGGTGCAATAGAGAGAGAGAGAGAGAGAGAGAAAGGATATATTGCATATATTTAATAATATACAACCCATATGTACAATAATACATATTATAATGTCTATTAGCATTTATCCTCATATCTATCATATCTCTTGTGATCCTATAATTAGTACAGCATTGCTGATTAGGTTTATTTGTATGTAAATTATTGGTGTCTATACGTCTCTGTATGTTCAAAATTGTTATGCATGGACACAACATTTAGGTGTTTCATATTTGTTACATATTGACACTTTTTAACTCTTCACGCTGGGTTGCTACATGCTGCTTCATTTATTGATACTGTTGCAACATTCCCGGCTTGAAGTGTTCTGGTGACCTAACTATTCATTTTTATTTATTTATTGGTATTTTTCGTAAATTGTTTTGAGATCCTATGGGATTGTGGTCTTTAGAATATATATATATATATCTTTCTTTTTAGTCTCTAGAGTATATATCTCTCCCGTCTTTTTGGAGGAGATATATCTTTAACAGATTTTTTCTGTTTAAGGTGACATCTATTGAGACTCTACTACTCCTATTTTGCTATATCTAAATAGCACAATTTTCCTGTATGTCCCATAAATTAAGGCTTGTATTTTGATTATTTAGCACAATCTTTTGCCACAGTATGCTGTAGGTATTCATCATCTGCCTCCTATTTAGAACTATTAGGATTAACTTGTATATGAGAAGTGTCTCTATACAGAGACTGGGTACTTTAGAGAGGAGTAAGGAGTACAGAAGAACCTCGTTATTTTATATGTTGATTTTATTTTCTATTAAAGATATATTTGTTTTTCTATAGAAACAGTTGTTTTCATTTTGTATACAATTCAGGAGCACACATACTTTATATTTTGAGTCTCTTCTTTTCAAGTTGCTTGTTCCTGTATGCAGCTGCCCACGTCATTTTATTGCTATAGTTACCAGTGCTTTATTCCTTTCCCTTTATTATAAAAAAAGAAGACTAAAACGTGATTCATCAAAAGCATGACAAACAAAAATAATAAAACTGGGGAGATTATTTAGAGGAAACTTGTTCATCCAATGATATTGCTATATACAATAATAATAATAAAAAAAATAATAACAATGAAAAAATGAAAAATGTGAAATTGTAAAAATAGTTAAAATAATAATAAATGGATTATCCTTTAAATAATATTGTGGCAATATCAATAGCCAAGAGAATGTAAAAAACAACAACAAAAATTCTGTATATAAAAAATTTCAATGTATTTTGCCGCTCACCCCTCCACCCCAAAAATGTCTCTTCCCATGTGTGCCTCGTAACCCCTCTTTTTAATTTCTTACCCCCTTTAGTGTTACATATCCCCTCTTGAATGTGTTATCCCTGTGTTATACCCCTTTAGTGTCTCACACCTGTGTCTCTTACTTGCCCACCAGCCCCATTCTGTGTCACTGTACTTTTGTGGGGGATATGGACTTTATAATAATAAATATAGCGCCAACAAATTCTGTAGTGCTTTACAATATGGTTTTAGTAGGAGGATAGGGGCAGTACTGAGTGTGTGGGACAAGTGCTTTAGTAAAGGGGAGATAGGAGTAGTATTGGTGAATAGAGGCAGTATTGTGGGTGGGGGGATTGGGATTTTAGCAAAGGGGGGAATATGGGCAGTATTGTGGGGGATTGAGGCTTTATTGTGATGGGGAAGGGGCCGTATTGTTGCAGATTAATTCTACAGTATGGGGACAGGGCCCATTTTGTGGGGATTGATTCTTTAGTGTAGGGTGGTAGGGGCAGTATTATGGGGGATTGGGGCATTAGTGGTAGGGTTAGGAACAGTATTGCGGGGAATGAGGCTTTAGTGTGCTGGGATATGAACCTTATTGTGTGGGACTGGGGCATTAGTTAGGGGATTAGAACAGTATCGTGGGGACTGGAGCTTTAGTGGGTGGGCATGGGCAGTATTGTTGAGAGCTGGGGCTATGTTAAAGGATAGGAACACTATGGGGGGGCAGGGGCAGTATTGTGGGGGGTAGGGCAGCATTGTGGAGGACTGGGGCTATGTTGGGGGGATTGGAATAGTTTTGATGGACAGTGCAGCATTATGGGGGACTGGGGCTATTGTGGGAGGAAGGGAATAGTATGGTGGGGGCAGGGACTATGGTGGGATGAGGGTAGGGGCAGAATTGCAAGGAGTAGGGGGAGTATTGTGGGTGACAGTGGCTATGGTGGGAGGGGATATAGTATCTGTATTGAGGGAGCAGGGCAGCAGTGTATGGGACTGGGGCTATGGTGTGAGGGAGAGACAGTATTGGATGAGTGGAGCTTAAAGAGAGACATACACATACAACTTTTTTTAAAATCTACCCAGTCATAGAGCATAGAAACATGGAAACACAGAATATAATGGCATAAAAGACCCATTCGGCCCATCTAGTCTGTCCAATTTCTAAATACTTTCATTAGTCCCTGGTCTTATCTTATAGTTAGGATAGCCTTATGCCTATCCCACACATGCTATAACTCCTTTACTGTTTTAACCTCTATCACTTCAGTTGGAAGGCTATTCCATGCATCCACTACCCTCTCAGTAAAGTAATTTTTCCTGATAATATTTTTAAACCTTTGCCCCTCTAATTTAAGACTATGTCCTCTTGTTGTAGTAGTTTTTCTTCTTTTAAATATAGTCTCCTCCTTTACTGTGTTGATTCTCTTTATGTATTTAAATGTTTCTATCATATCCCCCCGTCTCGTCTTTCCTCCATGCTAAACATGTTAAGTTCCTTTAACCGTTCCTTGTAAGTTTTATCCTGCAATCCATGAACCAGTTTAGTAGCCCTTTTCTGAACTCTTTCTAAAGATTCAATATCCTTCTGGTCTTGAATGCTGCGTACAATACTCCAAATGAGGTCTCACCAGTGTTCTGTGCAATGGCATGAGCACTTCCCTCTTTCTACTGCTAATACCTCTTCCTATATAACCAAGCATTCTGTTAGCATTTCCTGCTGCTCTATTACCTTGTCTGCCTACCTTTAAGTCATCTGAAATAATTGCCCCTACATCCCTTTTCTCAGATGTTGAGGTTAGGACTCTATCACATATTTTTTACTCTGCCCTTGGGTTTTTAAGTCCAAGATGCATTATTTTGCACTTATCCACATTAATTGTCAGTTGCCACAACTCTGACCATTTTTCTAATTTACTAAAATAATTTGCCATTTGGCTTATCCCTCCTGGAACATCAACCCTGTTACACATCTTAGTATCATCAGCAAAAAGACATACCCTACCATCAAGACCTTCTGCAATATCACTAATAAAAATATTAAAGAGAATGGGTCCAAGTACAGATCCCTGATGTACCCCACTGGTGACAAGCCCATGCTTTGAATATACTCCATTGACTACAACCCTCTGTTACCTGTCACTCAGCCACTGCCTTACCCATTCAACAATATTGGAATCCAAACTTAAAGATTGCAGTTTCTTGATAAGCCTTCTATGTGCAACAGTTTCAAAAGCCTTACTGAACTGTAGGTAAGCAATGTCTACTGCACAACTCTGATCTTTTATTTTAGTTACTCAATCAAAAAAATCAATAAGATTAGTTTGGTATGATCTCCCTGAAGTTAAAGGACCACTCTAGGCACGCAGACCACTTCAGCTTAATGAAGTGGTCTGGGTGCCAGGTCCAGCTAGGGTTAACCCATTTTTTCATAAACATAGCAGTTTCAGAGAAACTGCTATGTTTATGAATGGGTTAAGCCTACCCCTATTTCCTCTAGTGGCTGTCTCATTGACAGCCGCTAGAGGCGCTTGCGTGCTTCTCACTGTGATTTTCACAGTGAGAGCACGCAAGCG